TGTGTGTTTATGTGCACTTTAATATATTTTAATGTTACACCTTCTTATATAAAATAAAACAAAGCAAAGAACAAGTGTCTTATCATTTATTATAATACATAACATTATACATCAGTAGTTGATCAATGTTGATCTGCCGTGGTACAAGTCCTTGTGCAGATTGAAAGAATGCCATCATCTCCTGTTCCGTTGTTGTCTCCTTTTTGTAGTTTTAAATAATGATTTAATGATTTGATATTTATTTGACGCCGTCACGGCTATAATGCTTCTCCGACGAGCCGCTTCTTCTTCGGCTTTTGCCGTGGTACTGCGGGTTACACCAGCAACATGCCCGTGGACACTGCAGACTAGCGGTTTGCATGTGTACTGCACGTTGACATGGACAACGACGCAGAAGTATAAATGAAAACTGACGCGTAGCCTACGGCGTAAAGGCTACGGCGTAGATCCGACGCAGAAGTATAAATCAGCCTTTACTGTGAACTATTTATTAGTGAATATTATCCCAGAACCCCCCCCAAAAAGTTTGTATTTTGTAATCTTTCATCAAAGATATAATATTTCTCCATCTCAAAAACGTTTCCCTTCTCAGTTGACATCACAAAGACCAAAAGCTGGAACTGAGTGAATTCCCAGCGGATAAACTTACAGCATTACAGAAGTAAAATGGAATGGGCCACTTTAAGTCTATGGGTGCTTCCGAATTTGCATACTTATTCTATGCAGTTGTGTACAGTATAAATAGTGCGAGTAGTGTGTTCACACTGAAAAATCCACAAAGCAAAAGTGTACTTTAAATTTCCAGATGATGCACTTAACCGAAAAACCAGGAGGGGCTATCAGACTCCAATTATGAATGACAAAATAAGCTTACAAAAGTCATACATTACACAGTGTATAGTCTATAAGTGCGTCAATTGGGACGCAACTTATGTAATGATTTCTATCTGTGGAGAGTTGCATCGAACACAACAGTTTGCATGACAGAACTGGATTTAAAGTCCAGAGCATGATGCTGCAGGTGCTTCTACGTCATGCATGTTATGTTTGTCCACATGTGAGTTGTTCATCATACCCACTAACCTCCTCAGCTCAAAGCTGTCTGTTTTACCTGCTCTCTGTCCGTCCACCTCCTCTCGGTTATTTTAGGTTGTGAGAATGCCGTCACTCCGTGCCTGCAGCTTTTCCTCTCTTCATTGTCATGTTTGTGAAGGATAGATGGTGTTGTTTTGTGTTCAGTGCTGGAGTGCGGCCCTGGGCTTCCTGTTGAGATCTTCTTCATCACTTTAAGCGGTCATCTGAGGATGTGTCTGCTTTCTTTATCATTCACTGCTCTTCATGGCTGGTATTTGTATTTAAAAAAATTTTTTTGCATGCCCTTATTATGCTCATTATGTTTGAAATATAATTCTTTTTACTTTACGAGTTGTTAAGATGCTCAGGCTGACATTAACTTTTTTGTTGTATGTTGTTGTGGATAAAGGTCTGCTTGCTTTATTTGATGATGAGTTTAACTTTTAATTTAACATTTCATGAACTCACTTAATATATTCATTTGACATTAAAATAACACCCATTGCTTCATCTAAAAACGTGCATATTTCACCCTAAAAAAAAAAATTATAAATGTATATTTTTTTTTAATTTATATTTATATAAAATTATATTTAGCATAAAGAAAATAACGCCGAAATCTTAATGACCATTTTCATGACGATAAGCTAATTTCTTCTTAAATCATTTTTATTGTAATGTGAATGTTTTTTTGTTTTTTTTTATGCAAAATGAAAAGATCCCTTTCTTAATATTGTAAAGAAATAATAATACAATTTTGGGCTACAACAATATGAGGGAAGTGCTGTTAAGCAATACATTTAGTCACAGGAATGCGAAAAATTAAATGAAAATCTTTCTGTTCAGTCAGTCATTATTTTCTTTTTATAATAAAATATTATTATTATAAAATCTAAAATATTATTTATAGAAAATATGCTATTTTCATATTCAAATTACAATAAGTTACCTAAAATGAGGACAGTGTTCTTAATTAAAAATAGATCAATTACTGCTAAATTAGTACTAAATTAATTTTTAATTAATTACTTTACTTTAGTGACAAATGTGCTAAATTACTAAAATAAACTTCATTTCTTTTCTTTTTTGTGGTGAAATATGTCCTGGACATTTTTTGACCGTTTTCATGAGATTCATCTTCACGACATTTGGAGTCATAATCACCTGCTCAGTCAAAACGTCTCTTCGAGTTTTACAACAGCTTCCTTTGAACGCTTCAGTTTTATGATGTATACTTAACTAGCATTAAATCAACTTACAGCCAGTAAAGACAGCATATTCCTCCGGTATGTCATCAACCAAGGCTTACCTACTGTTTCCTCCCTCAATGTTTAACTTGTTATTTATATATCACAGACAGAAATAGGGTGTACAGCGTAGTGTCCAACAAAGAGCACATTATATTCCTCCGTTGCTGTGGGATGGGGCAAACCCTGGCGTCTGATTGCTCAGTTTCAGGTAGGAAGTTGCGTAGAGGGACGTCACTGAGGAGTGATGCCTGTTGAAAGTGGAAACAGCGCAGCCGCCCGTCAAGTCAAACAGAAGCGCAAGTCGCACAGTCTCTCCATTAGGAGGACCAACAGCACCGAGCAGGACAGACCAGGCATGCAGAGAGACATGCTGGAGGGACAGGTACAGTGGTTTTTCTCTTTGTTTCCTTTCTTTTCTCCCGGTTTGAAGTTTGTGGTTGTGAACATTAGAGGAAACTATTGTGTGCGCGTGCTGTCATGCCCAGGTGTACAGTCAAGAACGACGCAAAGCCAGTTCTGTGACATTGTTTGTCAAATTTTTTTTTTTGTAACCACCAAGTCATGACAGCTGGGCTATGTAAGTATCCAGGTAAACACGTGTCATGTTGTGTTTGAATAATTTGCTATTGTTTTAGAATTTAGTTTAATTAAAAATAAATAAATAAAACCTGTTTCAGGACATAATGTATTTTAGACATTTTCAGTCTCCAGGAAGCCAAAGTTGATCGATTATGGAAAAATCAAACAGTAAATGAAAACCTTTTTTTCCCCTTAATATATATATACAGAATATATTACACAATAATAATATATATCTGAAATATAATGTGGAATTCCAAAAGTAAGGTCAAATGCATTTGTTTTCTCCAAAACTAAGTAATGAAATAAAATTAAAATGGCCAAAAATTCATTTTAATTCTAGGTTTTCATTCTAGGTGAATTATAAAGTTGAAAATGTCTGCAACCCACTTAAATTAAAAATGCAAAAATGCTTCTAGATAACACTGAAAATCTCATTTCTGGCCCTGAAAAAATGCAGTTAAATATGTTTCAATTATATCAACTTTTGCATCCCTAAAATACTAAACTAAAACTACAAAACAACAAAAATAAACTAAACTGAAAGGACAAATTGTTAAAAAAATAGAAATTTTTAATAATTTGCTATTGCTTTAGAATTTAATTGACAATGATGACGATGATTATTATTATTGACTGTTCCAGGAATTCAGTGTTGATTGATTAAGTGTTATGAAAAAATTAAAAAAAATATTTTTTCTTATAATAATAATAATAATAATAAAACACTTGAAACGTAAGAAATACCAAAAGTAAAATAAAAGTAATCAAAACAAATTAAAATGGTCACAAATTAATATAAATTTTAGGTGTATTATAATGTTGGAAATGTCTACAACCCACTTTCATTAAACATGCAAAAATGCTACAGGTAACAATGAAAAACTCATATCTGGCCCTGAAAAAATGCAGTTAAAAATATTTAAATTATATCAGATAATTCTTTAACTTTGACATCCCTACAAAACTAAAATCCAAAAGTTAAACTAACAAATAACAAAAATAAACTAAATCAAAAGGACAAATTGTAAATAAAATCGAAATAATAAAACTGTAATAACACTGCATCGGTGTCTTTATTGAGAATGATTCTGGTTTGGAAGAATGGAAATGTGTCAGAAAGATTCAATGTCTCAGTCAAAGTCTATGTTAAACCGGGTGAACAGGTGACATGAGTTAAGTATTTCAGTCAATGAGTAGTTTTGTCATTGTTTGGTACTGTAACGTCTCCCAGGAATTTACATCCTCTAACACATGATGTTTGTTCTAAATGAGTCTGCTATCGACGCACATACCTTACACAAACATTACTGGAGTATGTCAGTGATAAGAGCAGCCTGTACTCACCTCAATTACAGTTCTTCATCAGTTTAAAGGGGTAGTTCACCCAAAAATGAAAATTCTGTCATTAATTACTCACCCTCATGTCGTTTCAGACCCGTAAGACCTCGTTCATCTTCGCAACACAACTGAAATGCTCCCAAGTCCAGAAACGTAGCAAGGAGATCTGTAAAATAATCCATTGGTGCTTTTCCACTGCGTGGTACGTCTCGGCTCGGTACGGGTCAGTACGGCACGGCATGGCACGGTTTGTGTTTCCACTGCAGTTCATTACCGCTTTAGAGTGGGCGGGATTATTCATATGTCATTATAGTTGCGTCGCCTCTACTACCACGACTCCTAAAAAAAACTTTTTCATTCCGCGTCGCCCTTTTTCATTCCGCTCCTCTACTATCAACGAGAGGAACGTCTGTTTTTCCACAACAGACAACAAAACTTTTTGGTTGTTAAAAAAGGTGCGCTCGTTCAAAACAGTTGCGTTCGATCCTTCGCTGGCTGTGCTGATTTCAATCTAGCGGTTCTGTTGTGTTTGTGTCGCAAGTTCAGTGACGCAGGTAGTGACGATTCTCTCCGGCCAATCCGTGATCAGCAGAGTTTACACGTCACGTTTTGGTAACGCTACGGTTCACTTGGAACCTCAACCAAGGTGGTACTAAAAAAAGTACCAGGTACTGTACCCAGTGGAAAACCCCCAAAAAGTGAACCATACCGTGCCGTACCATGCAGTGGAAAAGCGCCACATGTGACATCAGGGGTTCAACCGTAATTATACGAAGCTACGAGAATACTTTTTGTGCGCAAAAGAAAAAAAAATAGCGACTTTATACAACAACTTGTCTCCTCCGCATCACTCTGGTGCCATTTTGGAGAGTATCAGCTGGACGTAAACAACGTATGCTGTTCTGTGTCAGCTGCGTCACGCCGGATCTGTTTCCTACGTTGTTGTGATTTTGCTACGTTTCTGGACTTGGGAACATTTCAGTTGCGTTGCTGTCTATGGAGGAGTCAGACTGCTCTCAGATTACATCAAAAATATCTTAATTTGTGTTCCAAAAGATGAACGAAGGTCTTACGGGTTTGAAATGACACCAGGGTGAGTAATTAATGACAGAATTTTCATTTTTGGGTGAACTAACCCTTTAAAGGGGTCATATGATGAGATTTCAACTTTTCCTTTCTCTTTGGAGTGTTACAAGCTCTTGGAGCATAAAGAAGATCTGTAAAGTTGCAAAGACTACAGTCTCCAATCCAAAGAGATATTCTTTATAAAAGTTAAGAGTCAACCACGCCCCCCTAAAACGTTTGTGTCGTCGCTCCGGCCGGGACACGGCATCACAGTATGGTAGGTGCGTAACATTTCCGTCATACACTTGAGGTATTCGGCCAATCACAACGCACTGGATAGCTGGCCAATCACAGCACACCTCGCTTTTCAGACCGATGAGCTTTGTAAAAATCGACGCGTTTCAGAAAGGCGGGGCATAGAGGAGAAACAATAATGTACAGTATGTGGAAAAGAATGTGTTTTTTTTAACCTTAAACCGCATAAACGCATTTCATTACACCAAATACACAAAATAATGTTCTTTTTAGCAACATCATATGACCCCTTTAAATTCAAAAACGTAGTTTGTTTAGTACATGCTCTTGAAAAGTTTTCATAGCTATTTTGAACAAAATGTTCAAATGAAAGTGTTAAGAGTAGTCTAACTCATGTCAGGCTTGAGCCATGATGCCATATGATCATCTGTTTTATTGATACTCCTTGGAGGGTATCTATGGTTTGAACCCTTCCATGGTCTATAGCCTCATCCATTTTTAAAGAGCGGCCCACGCTGGGGTCCGATTGTTCCGTCTGTTCCTCTGTAGGGTCATTTCTGATTGGCAGTCCCTACTGTAAACCGTTCACTGGATTTAGACTATACCGCCTTTCACCCTCTCAATGCTGTCATTATGTCCAGTTGCTATGGTGACTGACTACACGTTTTAGGACTGAGCAGGTTTATAAGAGTAGACGACAAGCTGTTGTATGTTAATTGCCGTCTCTCTCTCTCTCGCTCTCTGATGCATAAGTAGGCTACATTTGGTAATGACAGAATGGAGAGCAGTTGACTTTGCTTTCACACTGTTCTCATTGGTAAACTCTTGTGTTAACTTGGCAGGAGAGCAAACCTTGTCCTGGAGTAGTTAATATGGACATAACTAGTCTAAATGACACAACAGCAATGTTTGTTTGTGGATTGCTTTTCTTTGTGTAGTTTTAATCAGGCTGGAAGACTTTACTTGCTACTTCTTATCCTTGATAATGGAGGTAAGTTGATTTGGTAGCTTAGTAATGTTTTTGAATAGAAATCTCTTACTTTTTCAGATTTTATGTTTTTTTTTCTGTCGCTTCTTTTCTATCCTCAGTAATGTTTGGTTACTCTCTCAAAAATAAATTATGCATTTAGGACAGAAATGATCTGAACTGAGGCTTAAAAGCCTGTAGAATAGCAAGATATTTTATGTAAAGTTTAAGTAAACATTAACATAAACGTGAACATTAAGTTGTTTTATGTAAAGTTTTATAACAGTGTGATATCTTACGTCAATGTTTAGATATAAAGTTTCAGAGCAGCCAGAAATTTCACGTAAACTTTTAAGTGTTAAGTTTCAGAACCGCAAGATATTTTATGTAAAGTTTTAAATGTAAATTGTTTGAATTACTATATATTTTATCTTAAGTTTTAGGAACAGCTACATATTTTACATACATTTTTAGATGCGATGTTTAAAAAAAACCCAAGATATTTAACACACTTTTGGAACAGCAACATATTTTATGTAACGCTTTAGAACAGCAAGATATTTTACGTAAACATTTAGATGTAAAATTTCAAAGCAGCAAGATATTTTATGTCGAGTTTTAGAGCAGCTGAATATTTTACGTAAGCTTTGAGGTGTATTGTTTTACAACGGCAAGAAAATGTACAGTTTTATTTACAGTTTATTTGTAGATTTCTGGTGTTTGTTTTATTTTCTCTTGAAAATAAACTATTAACAAAATATATTTATGTATATATATCTGAAATATAATGTGCAATTCCAAAAGTAAAATCAAATGCATTTGTTTTCTCCAAAACTAAGTAATGAAATAAAATTAAAATGGCCAAAAATTCATTTTAATTCTAGGTTTTCATTCTAGGTGAATTATAAAGTTGAAAATGTCTGCAACCCACTTAAATAAAAAATGCAAAAATGCTTCTAGATAACACTGAAAATCTCATTTCTGGCCCTGAAAAAAATGCAGTTAAATATGTTTCAATTATATCAACTTTTGCATCCCTAAAATACTAAAACATTACTCAAACTAAACTAAAACTACAAAACAACAAAAATAAACTAAACTGAAAGGACAAATTGAAAAGAACTAAAAATAAATTTTAAAGAATTTGCTATAGTTTTATAATTTAGTTGATGATGATCATTATTATTATTATTGACAGTTTTATTTACAGTTTATTTGTAGATTTCTGGTGTTTGTTTTATTTTCTCTTGAAAATAAACTATTAACAAAATCCCCTCAACATTCCTTGTGTTTGAGTAGTTTATTTTTATGTGTTAATTGTTAAATAGCTAGAATGTATGGAGTAGAACAGTGCAGAATCTGCATTTCTCATTTGTTTTCATTGAAGGCGTTTTGATGGCACAGTCTCTGAATATTTGTAATATGGATTATTTGATTCAATTTCTAGGACTCCAAGTTGCCGATGGCCTTAAGGAGTAACTTAATGGACCTGTTCGGACAGATTGAACGGGAGTTTGAAAATCTCTACATTGAAAACTTAGAATGTGAGTAGGAACCAATTAGCTTCCACCATATTTAATATCCTTTTTGCATGACTGGACTCTGTTTACATGACTTACGATATTTTATATATCACAGTCTTTGCACATGAAGAACTGGTTTTATGCATCTTATGCTAACTAAGTGTTTTTTTTCACTCACCGCATTCTCAAGATCTGAATCCTTAATTGTTTTCGGTATTACAGTTAATTATATACTTATTAATAAGTGTATCATTTAAATCGTAAGTTGCCGTGTAATAAGCAGGATTAATGTCCAGTCATTATCGAGGTTTAAACTCCTTCAGGTTGATGTTTGTGTGTCCTCGTCAAACTGTTGGGTTTATTTGAATGTACATTATCCCTTACATAGGGTGTAAATGTGACAAAATCAGTGTTTTGTTCGGTTTATCAGCGGACCTATCATAAGCTCTGTTCTCGTGCAGTGCGCAGAGAGATTGATTCGCTAAACGAACGTTTGGCTGGAGAAGGACAGACAGTCGATGGTGGCGATCTGAGCAAAGGAGCCCTGAAAACAAAAGGTACATGCAAAACAAAACTGACATTTAGTTCTTACCCAAAAAAACCTATTTAGGCATTTAGAACACTGATGTTTTCAAATGTCATAATTTCTCTCAACTTTCCACATTGCTCCATTATCGGACCCAAGCCCCTGTTTACCTGTATACTCTTGAATATAGAGCTCAATGGTGCTGATTCAAATTAGACTCATCTTTTTAACGTTTTGATCCTCATGGATTACAATTGTTCTTTTTTTTTTCTCTCCGTGTCACTGATGTAGCGCTCAAATTCTTTCCCGGGGAAAGTAGGTGGACCTCGCAACTTCAATGTGGGGAACGACAACAAATCCTTTTTAATTTAACAGTATTTAGAAAAGAGCAAGAATTAAAAATATAAGAAGCTATAGCAATAGAAACGACAAGCCAAAATGAATTAATTTAGGCTAAAACGAAACGAAATGAAACCTACGTTGGGTCTCTCATTCGACACAAAATCAAATGTTTCCGTATTCACGATGTATTTGAATGCCAAAATATTATTTGTTATGTACTTCACTCGTGTTGCAATATCCAGGTAAAACAAAATGATTTACATCACGGCAGTACGTTGATAACGGTTAACGGCACAGATTTTACTATACATATTTAAACTGAGCAGTGTGTTTTTTTCCCATATGTTTGACTGACTGTATTTTATTATGATAATGAACAGGCTGCATTGCAGCGTTAATTTTGACAGCAAATTTTGATTTAGTTTTAGTCGTAGTCTTTTGACTAAAATGCCATTTAGTTTTAGTAAAATTTTTGTCATCTGAATTGTTTTTAGTTTTAGTCGACTAAATCTACAGTAAATTTCGCCGGCTAAAATCGAATGGGTTTAGTTACAGTGTAATGCATTTATTAAGCATTTCTTTACCGACAAGCTGCGCAAAATATGATCGTGGTTTTGCGCAGCTTGTCATTGAACAACGGCTCTGTGTAGTTAATTCTGCTCCATGTGAAAGCCCGCAGGTGATGGAGATTTACCGCTGATTAAAGAACCGGCTTTACTGACAAGATGCGCGTTAAATATCGCATGTGATTTATCGTGCAGCCCTATTATATAGGCTAATTATGCATTATTTATAGCAACTTGTTTACCATATTCCTCATTCTTTTAAGCAGACATATTTATTTCTATAAATCAATTTAGATTAATCTTTAAGACTACTAAAGTTTTTCAGTCGAGCAATGCGTG